CATAGAGATAATAAACATTGTTTTGAAAATTTTACGTTATATTCACTGTTACTATGGTAATCATTAAAACAAAAAAATGTCCATAAGAATAACATTGGAACTTTGAAGACCCGTGGGGCGGAGCCCTAAGGTGAATTCCAAAAATCCAAGTAGCCTATAACCTTCTCACGCATGTAGTAGAACAAAGAAAAAAAGTTTCATCGAAATCATTGCACCTGTTTCCCTGTGAAAAGTGAACAAAATCACTTCCAAAACTGCACCAAAGCAGGTTTTTCAGCGGCCGCCATTTTCTTTCCAAAAGGCGTATGACAGTTTCAAGTAGCCCATAACCTTCTTATACATCTATAAAACAAAGAAAAAAAAGTTTCATTGAAAACGGTGCACTCGTTTTCCCGTGAAAAGCGAACAAAAACACGTCCGCGAGCATTACCGACAGACAAACAGACAGACAGAAATTGAGATAAGGCTTGTTTCAGCTTCTCTGGTGTATGAAACGTGAAGATATGCAAAAAGTACACTGTTCTAAGCAATGTACAGACAAAACTCTTATTTTATTTATATAGATAATAAGTAACAAATTTTTGGATTACAGTTAACTTGCAGAATCTTTGGGGTTTGCTTTTATAATTTTGAAGATATTGTGAAAGATTATGGATATTATCTCTTTCTCTCTGTCTGTCTCCATTTATAAAAGTTTGCACATTGCACAGAATTTTTATAACTGAAATACTGTGTCCTAGAACTTGAAGGAGGTGGAGTTGAAAACATTCTTCACAACTTCAAGGATTAAAGTTAGTAATTATATTGTGTGATGAGGTATTAAACATAAAAAATTCCTATGTTATATTAACATATGTGACACAATGCAACTTGAGTTAAAAAGTTAAATGGTGTTTTAACAAGCATTTATATTTTGAAAAAAATGAATAGCATTTGTTTAGGAAATTTGGCAGCTTAGTAATATGGATAATAATTGAAGTGGAAAAATGTTTTGTTTAATTAATATGATATGTTTCACAGTCACAAGTGTTGATGAATGTTTCAGTAAATTTTAATGTTCTACAGTCACTTTGCCATTCAACCACCAAGCCCTGATGTGACCTCATCTCGGTGTCAAGAGGGCACATCATCCAATGTATTGCACATTTTGATCTTCATGGTTTCCCAGGTTCTGATAGGCTGTGGAGGGTCACCTATTTTCACTTTGGGCACTACTTACATAGATGATCATGTGAAGAAAGAAAGTTCTTCGATGTATATAGGTGAGAGTTTATCAATTTTAATTTTAATAGCAAAGGCCTCTAAGTACACATATTCTCTTTAGATTTTTTTTTTTATAAAGACTATGGAAAATATTTTGATTTGGGGTCATATTTTAGGACAGCAAAGCTCTGACAGGATTTGAGAAACAGTTTTTGTTTCATTTAAGTGTCGTACTAGACTTCATAAAATACTTGTACAGTTTTTATACATTAGATCACTTTAAATTTCTTTTTCTATTTGTGTGAGAGAATGTTATTTGATTAGTTCTTTGGGGGTGAATCATGAAATGTACAAGAAAAGATTAACTAACCTATAATTATTTTTTCTTAATATTTTCAAAAACAACAACAACAACATATGATCATATTACAACATTGGCGCCACCCAGTGGCACAACAGTATGTCTGTGGACTTATAATGCTAGAATCCGGATTTCGATACCCGTGGTGGGCAGAGCACAGATAGCCCATTGTGTAGCTTTGAGCTTAACTTGAAACAAACAATACGCCAATGGCTATGAAAATAAAATAAAAACTGACACAAACCAGAAAACATACTGGCCTAATTTTTGTATATGAGAATTGGTATTTATATGACTATATTACATATGTTTAAAGATTTGGGACATTTGTTTCACTATGAAAATTGGGAAACTGCTTTATTAGAAAATAAATTAAAAAACCTTTAGTGATATAATTTCAGCTGAAATCATGCAGTTAGAGACTGACTAGTTGATTAAGCTCCATGAATAAACTTTAATATGCTTAAGTCTTTTAAAATGATGGAAAATTTGTCAGTAGAAATGCTGTTTTAGCCACCAGAAAGTACCATGCAAATTTTATTAAATTTACACACACAAAAATTTATAAAGAAAAGATAATGCCATAAATAATCTTAATATTTATTAAACTCTTATATTAAAAAAAACAAATAAAATGGAACACTTCCATAAGTATTAAAACAAGATAATGCCATAAATAATCTTAATATTTATTAAACTCTTATATTTAAAAAAACAAATAAAATGGAACACTTCCATAAATATTAAAACAAGGATGAGCTAGCAGTGTTACTATCCATATATTTTCCGGTGTATAAGACGCACTTTTTTACCCCCAAATTTGATGTCAAAATCTGCTTGCGTCCTATACACCCAAGGTATGAAT